AGGAGTTACTGGTCTGGTTCAAGACCCCTGGCTTCTGCTACCCTTTCGATACTGGACCCTCAATGGGACCCTTCTTGGATATCCTGTTGTTGTCCTGTGCCATGGAGGTCCTGTAGCTTTGAATCTGCAGGTCCGCCACATTCACATACTCCAGCAGTTCATAGATGAGTTGGATGTTGGGGTAGGCTAACCCATAGCCATGTTTCTGGGTCTGGGTGGCAGCTGGGTTGGTCAGCCTCCAGCTTACCCTCACGGATGCCACCCAGGCAAGCTCTCCAGCATTGCCTCAGCTAGCTCATCCAATCCAGCCTTCAGCAAGGTGGTCTCGAACCCTCGGGTCCAGCTCACCGGCACTCACCCCACCAGGGCCAGTTCTACTGTTTTGCCCAGGCGAAGTGCAGAACCAGCTCTCCCTCATGCTGCAGCCAGTGAGGGGCAGGGCCAGCTCTTCTGTCCCCATGCCTCTGAGGCTGGCTCTCCTACCTGTCACAGGTGGCAAGGGGTGTGTGTGTGTAGAGACATGTTTCCCTCACCCACACCACCACAAGGCATATAAGGGAGGGAGTCAGCTCTCCTGCTCTCATGGCCTCAGGGCAGGCTTACCCACACCCCCCACACAAAGAGGGTCAGCTCTACTGTGCTGTCCAGGTGAGGTGCGGGGCCTGCTCTCTAGAGTGCTGCTGCCGGCGAGGGACAGTGTTAATTCTCCCACTCTCATGACCCCGGGGCCAGCTCTCCCACCCACCACAGCTGGCGAGGGACAGGGGAGGTCTTCTCTCCCTCCCTCCCTCCACTGTATGGCGGATGAGGGGTGGGGCCGGATCTTCCACACACATTCACAGAGGTGTATTACCTGCCACCCCATCCACAGGGGCAGCCCTCTCGTGCTGCCCAGGCGAGGTGCAGGGCCACTCTTCCAAGCGCTGCAGCCAGGGAGGGGCAGGGTCAGCTGGAACAAATATTCTTTAAACTGATGCTTCTGATGATCTTGAAAGGCCTGTTGTCCCATCCTGTACCTGCCTTGGGGTTAGTGGAACATTTTGGTCTAATCACTCACACATTTTTTTTCTCTCTAGGTGAACACATGGAAAGAGCAAGGGGAAAAATAGCTTGTTTTATTTTGTGCCAAGTTTTTAACATAATAGCAGCCATCATTCTTCCCCTTCTTCAGTCTCGAGTCTATAAAGGGGCTAACATTCGAAACCTATTTAGCACTTCTTCTGGAACTTAGGACAAACTTCCAAAGTTATATTTGGGGTTCAGGATCTGTCAGCGAAGTGAAAGGGATGAAGGGCAACCAACCCCCCCCCCCCCCATGTTCTGATAGAGAAACGGGAACTTTATTGTGATGCAGTTAACCCATCCTGCCTGGGGAAAGGAAACTGAAGGTTAGGGTTTCTATTGCTGCAATGAAACACCATGACCAAAGCAACTTGGGGAGGAAAGGGTTTATTTGGCTTACATTTCCACATCACTGTTCATCATCAAAGGAAGTCAGGAACTCAAGCAGAGCAGGAACCTGGAGGCAGGAGCTGATGCAGAGGCCATGGAAGGGTGTGGCTTACTGGCTTGCTCCCCATGGCTTGCTCAGCCTGCTTTCTTTTAGAACCCAGGACCACCAGCCCAGGGATAGCACAGTGGGCTGGACCCTCCCCCATCAATCACTAATTAAGAAGATGCCCTACAGGCTTGCCTACAGCCCGATTTTATGGAGACACTGCATTTTCTTAAGTGAGGTTCCCTTCTCTCAGATGACTTTAGCTTATGCCAAGTTAACATAAAACTATCGAGCACACCTAGGATTCACTTAATAATAAACAAATCTGAAAATTTTTCAATAGAAATATATCAGGTAGAGTAAAAATGTCATTTGAAAATGACCTACTACCTTGAAAACATATATTTTAAATCCACATAAACCTGAATGTACACCCTCAGAAGGCAGCAACAACCATTTTCCTGCACTCCTGACAAATAGGATCATCTTAGTGGTGGGCATGGTAGGATTTGCTCTCAAAAAAAAAAAAACAAAAACAAAAACAAAAACAAACAAAAAAACAACCTAGGAGGCAGGAGGCAGATGGATTCCTAGAGCAGCCAGCGAATTGGTGAGCTCTGGGTTCAGTGAGAGACCCTGTCTTAGAAAAGAAGGTGGCGAGCAATCAAGGAAAACCACCAGTGTTGACTGACTTCTGGCCTCCATGCACGCCTGCACACATGCCTGTGCATGTGAGCATGTGCACACACACACACACACACACACACACACACACACACACACACACACA